CGGACCTGCCGCAGGCTGATCCTGGCCGGGTACACGATATCGGATCCATCTCTACGGAACACCTCGTGCGGTTTGTCCTTGAGCACGAACACCACGTCGGCCGGGATGTTGGTGGCCGTCTGGTCGCCCTCCTTGGGGAAGGTGATCTTGGTGCCTTCCTTCCACCCTCTCTTCACCTCGATGGTCAGGATTTTATCCTCCTTCCTCACCGTTTTCCCGTCGGGACCCAGCCGCTTGTGCGAGATTTTCATTTTTTTGGTGCAGCCGCTGTAGATCTCCTCCAGCGACACCCGCAGGTCGTACAGCACCGGGGGGTCCTGCCGCCGCCCCTCGGGACCCCCGCGCCCCCGGGGGAAGCTGACGCTGCCGAAACCCCCGACGTGGAACGTGTTGAAGCCGCCACCGCCACCGTCATCGTCCCCGTCATCGTCGCCGCCGTTGCGCTGCGCGAAGAACGTGTCGAAGGGGTTGCGGCCGTCGAAGAACTCGGCGAACATGGCGTGGGGGTCGCCGCGGAACGTGTAGGTGAAGGTGGGGCCGGACGAGCCCCCCGGGCCGGGGGTCGGGGCTCCCCCTTTTAGCCCTGGGGAGGGGGAGGTGACGGTCAGAGCCTCCCCCTCCCCATTTTAGCCCTGGGAATGATGGGGAGGGGGAGAGGAAGGTGGGGAGGGGAAGGGGAAGGTGCCGGTCAGAACCTCCCTCCCGGGGGTCGGGGCTCCCCCTTTTAGCCCTGGGGAGGGGGAGGTGTTCGTCAGAGCCTCCCCCTCCCCCTTTTAGCCCTGGGGATGGGGAGGGGAAGGGGGGAAAGGTGACCCTCAGAGCCTCCCCCTCCCGGGGGTCGGGGCTCCCCCTTTCAGCCCTGGGGATGGTGGGGATGGGGAGGGGGGGAAGGTGCCGGTCAGAGCCTCCCCCTCCCCCTTTTAGCCCTGGGGGTGATGGGGATGGGGAGGGGAAGGTGCCGGTCAGAGCCTCCCCCACCCCATCCCGAAGGTGCGGGAAAAAGGCGTGGGGGTCGGGGAGGGGAAGGGCCGGATGAGCCCCCCGGACCGGGGGTCGGGGCTTCCCCTTTTAGCCCTGGGGATGGTGGGGAGGGGAAGGTGCCGGTCAGAGCCTCCCCCTCCCTCCCCACCCCGAGGGTACGCGAAAAGGGCGTGGGGGTCCCCGCGGAACGTGGAGGTGAAGGGGGTCGGGAGCCCGGGGGTCGGGGCTCCCCCTTTCAGCCCTGGGGATGGTGAGGATGGGGAGGGGAAGGGGATGGGGAGGGGAAGGTGTTGGTCAGAGCCTCCTTCCCGGGGGTCGGGGCTCCCCCATTCAGCCCTGGGGATGGTGAGGATGGGGAGGGGAAGGTGGGGAGGGGAAGGTGCCGGTCAGAGCCTCCACCTTCCCATTTTAGCCCTGGGGATGGTGGGGAGGGGATGATGGGGAGGGGAAGGTGCCGGTCAGAGCCTCCCTTCATCCCCCCGAGGGTGCGGGGAAAGGGCGTGGGGGTCGCCGCGAGGAGGGGCCGGACGAGCCCCCCGGACCGGGGGTCGGGGCTCCCCCTTTTAGCCCTGGGGGTGGTGGGGATGGAGAGGGGAAGGTGCCGGTCAGACCCTCCCTCCCTCCCCCTCCCCACCCCGAGGCTGCCGAGGGTGCGGGGATTGGGCGTGGGGCGGCCCAGGGCGAGCGGAACCGGTTCTGCCCGTGGCGCCCGACGCGCTGACGGCACCGGACGGGTTCGGACAGGCCCGGCCGGATTTGGGGAAACACCCGCGGGGATGAGCCGGGAACACCGGGAATGGGATCGGGGAATGGGGAGGGAGGGATGGATGGATGGGGAGAGCCGGGACCGAGCGGGGGAGAGCCGGGACTGAGCTGTGTACAGCCTGAGCCTAAAACTGAGCCTAAAACTGACCCGAAAACCTAAAACTGACCCTAAAAAACAGTAAAACCAGCGCTGTGTACAGCATGAACCTAAAACCGACCCTAAAAAGAACTAAACCCAGTACTGTGTACAGCATGAACCTAAAAGACACTAAAACTGATTCTAAAAAGCACTAAACCCAGCGCGGTGTACAGCCTGACCCTAAAGCTGAGCCTAAAAATGAGCCTAAAACTGACCCTAAAAAACACTAAACCCGGCGCTGTGTATAGCCTGACCCTAAAACTGACCCTAAAAAGCACTAAACCAAATAACACTCTGGCCCTAAAAAACCCTAACCCCGACCCCAACACAAACCCTGAAAAAGCCTAACCTTAAAAAAGCCAAACCCTAAAAAACTCGAACTGTAAAAAAATCTAACCATAAAAAAACCCTAACCCTAAAAAACCCTAAACACAACCCTAGACAGACCCTAAAAAACCCTAACCCTAAAAAACCCTAACATCAACCCTAAAAAACCATAAGTCCAACCCTAGCCCGGACCCTAAAAAACCCTAACCCTAAAAAAGCCCAACGCTAAAAAACCCTAACCCTGACTTTAACCCGAAACTTAACCCTAAAAAACCCTGACCCTAACCCTGACCCCAAAAAAGCCTAACCCTAAAAAACCCTAAACACAACCCTAAAAAACCCTAAACCCAACCCTAGTACGGACCCTAAAAAACCCTAACCCTAAAAAACCCTAAACCTGACTTTAACCCTAAACCTAACCCTAAAAAACCCTGACCCTAACCCTGACCCCAAAAAAGCCTAACCCTAAAAAACCCTAACCCTAAAACACTCTAACCCTGACCCTAACCCTGACCCTAAAAAACCCTGATCCTAAAACACTCTAACCCTGACCCTAAAAACATTAACCCTAAAAAACCCTAAACTAAACCCTGAGCCTAGCCCTAATCCTGACCCT